GCCCCCCTGACCACGCCCGCGCAGGCGTGGTCAGGGACACCTGTAGCCAGCCCCTAGCAGGGGAAATGGTGTCCCCTATACTTGTTCACTGGGGCATCTTGCTGGCCCTGACCCTTTCTGTTTTTTTTTTTTTAATTTTTTAATTTATATTTTATGTGCATTAGTGTTTTGCCACGGGTGTTGGGTCCCCTAGAACCCCGAACAGGAATTATAGACAGTTGTCAGCTGCCATGTGGGCTCTGGGAATTGAACCCGGGCCCTCTGGAAGAGGAGTCAGTGCTCTTAACCACTGAACCATCTCTCCAGCCCTTGTTATTATTATTTTTTTTAAATTGTTTTCCCCCTCACTTTGAAACAGTCTGTAGCCCAGACTGGCCTCGAACTCATGGCCTGCCTTGGCCTCGGCCTCCCGAGCGCCTTACTGAGAAATATTATTTTCTGAAAAACATCCAGGTGCAGGGCAGGCTGGAATAGCAATATTACATCAGGTAGCATAGAACGGAGAATTGTGACCCATCAGGACCTCCACCCCACCCCACCCTGGGTCCCCTGAAATCAGTATCGGGTACCAACTGGGAAGAGGAGTTGCCGGATTTTGACTTAGTTTGTCTGGAGATAAACTGATGAGGGCAGTGAGATTGGTTTACTCCTGTTCAACCAAGAGGGACTTGTGCGAATGAGCTGAGAGTCTGGGCCTGTGTGGGAGCCGAGGGCTTGAAGGAAAGATGAGATTGGTGAAGTCCTGGGCAAGAGGCCAGGCCCTAAGACGGAGCCGTCCATCCTTAGCTGTCCAAGGCAACTGAGCAGACCAAGATGGCGGGTGATTAGCTCAAGCAGGCAGGTGCGGTGAGAAGCAGACAAAAAGTGTGTAGGGCGCGTGTATGGTGTGAGCATTTGCATGTGTGTGTACCCTCACGTGGAGGCCTGAGGTTGGTGTCTAGGCTCTTCCTTGATCGATCTTTCACCTTATACATGGAGGCAGGGTCTCACTGTCACACCTGGAGCTTGAGGATGTGGCTAGTCTCACCAGCCAGCTTGTTCCTCTGTCTCTGCCTCCAGAGACTGGAGTCACACTTGTGTTTATGTGGGTTGTGGGCATCTGCATTTGGGGCTTCTCATTTGTACACGTATTTTACACTGAGTCCTCATCGTCCCCAGCCCATTCCCAGGGAAACTTCTATTTTCTTTTTCCTTTTTAAATTTTAATTACTTTTAAAAGATTGATTTATCATGTATACAGTGTTCTACCTGCAGGCCAGAAGAGGGCACCGGATCTCATTACAGATGGTTGTGGTTTTTGTTTTTTTTTTGTTTTTGTTTTTGTTTTTTCCGAGACAGGGTTTCTCTGTGTAGCTTTGGAGCCTATCCTGGCACTCTCGCTCTGGAGACCAGGCTGGCCTCGAACTTACAGAGATCCAATTGCCTTTGTCTCCTGAGTGCTGGGATTAAAGGCGTGTGCCACCAACGCCCAGTCTTGGTTATCCTTTTTTTTTTTTTAAAGACAGGACTTGTTATTAACCATGGCTGGCCTGAAACTCTAATTATAGACCAGGGTGGCCTCAAATTCAGAAATATACCTGTCTCTGTCTCTTGAGTGCTAGGATTAAAAGCATGTGCCTCTATGCCTAGACTAGGGAGACTTAAAAAAAAAAAATTGGGCTGGGCGGTGGCATGGATGTCTAATCCCACCACTCAGGAGGCAGAGGCAGACAGATCTCTGTGAGTTCCAGGAGTTCCAGGACAAGTTCCAAAGCTACACAGAAAAACCCTGTCTCGAAAAACAAAGAAAAAATTATTTTACTTTATGCGTGTGGATGCTTTGCCTGTATGTATGTCTTGTGTACCAGATGTGCAGTGCCCAAGGAGTCCAGGACAGGTCACCGGATCCTTTGGCCCTGGAGTTTACAGAGAGTTGTGAGCGGCCGGCTCAGTTCCTCTGCAAGAACAGAAAATGCTCTTAATGGCTGAGCCATCTCTCTGGCCCCCAGGAAAACGGTTTAGGAGAGTGGTGGGCTGGGGGAAAAGCTGCCAGGAGGACAAGGGAGATGGGAGGTTCTTGACTTCTTGACCTCCTCTGCCTGCAGATCCAGAATATCATTAAGGAGCCAGTCCCGGACAGCGGGCTGCTGGGCCTCTTCCAAGGTCAGAACCCCCTCTTGCTGAACTCCAGACCCTGACTTGAGATGGAAGCATCGTCTTCCCTCATCTCTGAATCCCAGGAGTCCACCCGGAGGCCTGCCCTGTGAGAGGGGAGGGGTGGTTATGCCTCCTGCTTGAACAACTGGACTTGGAAAAGCAAACAAGACTCCTGAGGGCTGGAAGGGGTGACGGAGAGGGGTCAGACTGAGGAGGACTCTGCTCGGGTCCATCTCATGAGGTGGAAAAACCAAAGGACAAATGAGTGTCACAGACTGGGACCCCAGACTCCAAATAAACATTGGTGTGGCTGTGCAACAAACCGTTATTGGACTTTGTGGGGGTGTTGCAGGGGGAGAAGAAAATGGGGTGAGGTGAGGAGAATGGGGGTGCTTCTCCCAAGCCCCAAGCTGGGGCTAGACACAGGCCACACCTACAGTGTGCAGCGTGTGGATCTTGAAGAGTTTTTTCTGGCTGTCCCCATCTCCGACGGTACTTCCGCCCGGCCCTGCTGGATCGACTCCACGGCACAGTAACTCTTGCATTCTGCAGGCCTTTGGATCCAAGTTCTGCTACCCTGAAATAGAGCTGGGCCCCTGTTACCCACAGCTGCAGTGGCCTCTGACGGCCCACATGACTAAACCTGGGAGAACGTTTCCCTAAACAACTCTTTTTTTCCAGAAGAGAGCGAAGTCAGCTTCATAGCATCATGCAGGGTGCCAGAGAAGAGCCTGGAAGAGCAGGCAGGGTGTGGCAGGGACATATGGCCTTCTCCAAGCTCTTGATCGGGCACCCCGGGGAAGCTATGGAGGGGAAGCCTGGTTTGTGGTGGAGACACCAGGGTGCTGAAGATGTCCTTGAAAGGACAGAAGCGCTGTTTTCTCAGAGGAAAGCCATTCACAAAAGTTTGCCTTTGTATAGCCTGGTACCACCCTCAGCAGGTAAAACCAGGGTTACAGGAACACCAGCTCTGTGATACTGGCCTAGTCCTTCTGGTTACTGAGATGGTCACTAAGCGATTAACGGGGGAGTAGCGTATACAGCATGGATACACTAGACCAAGAATTTGCTTCGAAACAGTGAAGAGTGGACAGCATAAGAGTTCATCACACTATTTAGAATGGCACGCAGATGAAAAAGAATGGTTTATTTCTGGAGTTGTCTGTGTGGTGATTGAAGACCAAGAGTAATGGTCAGAACTAAAACTAGCAACAGAGACCTCAGATTATATGGGATAATCTCTGGATTTTCTGAGAGGTCTCATACCTCACACTCCTCAGGACGGAGCTGGCAGGTCGTAGGTACTGCTGGTCTTGAAAACCAAGGGCCACCATGGCACGTGACACCCCAGAGAGGGTGTTCTCACTGGTGCACCACCCCTCTCCCCAACTCGGTATGGCTATGTCCTGGGTCCCTCAGTGCCCCTCCCGAGCTGGTATTTTGCTTGTTTGCGGACAGTGTCCTCCCAGATCCCCCAGGGACAATCTTGCTGGCAGCTGCACCCTCAGACTCTACACACATAGGTGTTCAGGAGGTTGGTGTTCTTTTTGTTGTTGTTGGATAACTGAATTTAACGCCCCTCCCCCGAGACCTTCCCACACCGTTATGGGGACTCAGGACGAGGGAAGGGAGACTGGTGAATGCCTGTCCCCCCAAGTCTGTGTGCATGCAGTTCCTCAAACCATAAAGCCAGCAGCTCACAGCCAGAGGATTCAGACACTGGCGCCCCCTCGTGGAGCATCCCCAGGCTACAGGCTAGCACGCTGGGGTCCTGCCAGGCTTGATAAGAGCAGGCAGCAGATGTTGTGGGCTCCTGGGAGCCCAGGTTGGAAGTCAGCTTCTGGGGGCTGGGCTGGCAAGAGTTATGCTGCCCTGGTCGCAATAGTGGCTACCCCTGGCCATCATTGAGTCCGAGGCCGCCTCCCAACCCTCCAGACATCTGGACCCCACTCCCTGCACATCCCAGGCCTCCCTTTGGGGGCCTGAGAACCGGAGGACAGGACAGCAACCCCACCCCCACCCCAGGCCATCTCCCAAACTCTAGAATGTGTGTCTAGGACAAAGAGAGACACATGGACATACAGGCAGAAAGGCGGGATCTGCCCTGATCAGGACAGAGAGTCTGGACAGCATCTGTGGGGGATGTTGAGACCCTAAGAGATTTGGGGGGGGGAGTAACCCCACAGGCACAATTCCAGCACAGCCCAAAAATTCCCCAAATAAAAACTAGGTCCAGGGCTGAAGAGATGGCTCAGTGGTTAAGAGCACCAGCTGCTCTTTCAGAGGTTCAATTCCCAGCACCCAGCTCACAACTGTCTGTAACTCCAGGTTCAGGGGATCCAACACCCTGACACAGATGTTCATGCAAACAAAACACCAATGAACATGAAATACAAATAAATGAATTAAAAAAAAAACTAAGTCAAAGTTCTCCCCAATTCTTGATGGGAGGATGGGGTCACCTCCCTCTGCACACTCAGACACCCCCACCCCAGCCACAGTGGCCTCCCTTAGTTCCTTGGGAGTCTCCCCGGCCCCCACGGCCGCCTACAGCCTGCTGCTTCTCAGCATCCCAGCCCTTCCCTCAAGGTTCCATCTCCCGTAGCCACCCAGTCAGCGGCACCTTTTATTTCTTTTTTTTTTAAAAGATTTTATTTATTTATTATGTGTACAACATTCTAACATTCTGCTTCTGTGTCTATCTGCACACCAGAAGAGGGCACCAGATCTTATTACAGATGGTCGTGAGCCACCGTGTGGTTGCCGGGAATTGAACTCAGGACCCTTGGAAGAGCAGCCAGTGCTCTTAACCTCTGAGCCATCTCTCCAGCTCTCCAGCACCTTTTATTTCTATCCCAGCACTCTTTCCAATCAGAAATTGGAATTTCGTCTTGCTGTCGAAGCTCTCTGAGGGCTCTCTCTCTCTCTCTCTCTCTCTCACACACACACACACACACACACACACACACACCCCTACGTACTGGAGTTCCCTGAGCTGGGGACCTTGTTCTACATTATCTGCTTCAGTTTTGGGCCAGAACCCATGCCAGCACTCCTCGATGGAACAGGGGACTATTAGAGAGAGAGAGAGAGAGAGAGAGAGCAGACACCAGGCAGAGAGGAGTGGGGTGGGGGAGGGGAGCAGTCCGAGCTGGGAAGGGAGAAAGGAAAATTCATGGGCAGGGACTGCAAGGGGTCCTCAAAATGGACTGAGATGGCCCTGGGTCTGGGAGCAGAACTCTGGACTGTGGTACACAGTGAGGGGGTCTGGGATTGGTTTGTTTTTACAGGTTTACCTTTCCTGGTGCTGGAACCCAGGGCTTCTTGAGTGCTAGGCAAGCACTCTACAACTGAGCTATATATCCTCAGGTCCCTCAAGAGGGGAGAGTTGGGTCAGGCCTGAGAGGGGTTTGGCCTGTGTCATGAACAGGTTTCAAAGGGTTCCCCAGGCCTCCAGGGTTCCCTGAGGATCCCAGGCACAAGGTGCCTCCCAACCCCAGTCTAGAGCTGCAGGCTCCAGGCTTCCCCCATGGGCATTCTGGGGAGGGGACAGGGGATTGGAGAACCTTAGAGGCTGCATTGGGATTGGGGTTGGCTGTCTCTGGTCTCCTAGGCCTGGGGCATGAGAGACGAATTCAGACCCCTCCTGGGGAGTAGCATCGGGGAGAGTCTGGCAGAAGCCGTCAGGATCCACCAAGGGACAAGCAGGAGTGAGCAGAATGTCATCAAAGAGGTCAAGGGTTGAGGTGTCCAGTGCAGCCAGGCTCAGGCTGGGACCACCGTCCTCGTCGTCGTGGGACAATTCCAGGGGGGCCTCAGCGCAGGCCACACCCAGGAAGGGGGATGGAGGCGGTGGAGGTGGTCTTTGGGGTGGTGGTCTCTGGGGAGGTGCTTTCTG